TACGCAGCTGGACGAAATCAATATTATCTGTATCCAGCCAATTCGTGTGAGTTTATCAAGGCATCCTAGCAAAGATTTACTCCGGATGTGCCTTCGTCACATAACCTCTTTAAACCAAAATCCCTTTTCCTCTACACCTCATTTCTTTCGTCTGTCCTATTCCATTTTTCTATTTCGGTTATGGCATGCAGAGGTCAGCTCTACATTAGCAGCATCAACCACAGTATCAGCAATTTAAGTGGTAATAATAATAATAATAATAGTAGTAATAGTCGTCGTCGTCGTCGTCGTGATATCCGCAATCGCATCAGCACGGCCAACAACACGAAAGGACTACTGATGCTAGCGACAATTATAGGCAACATTTACAATAACACCAAAAGTGCTATTAACAAGGGAATGGGTAGAACGAGGCAGCAGCCGTCTCTATTAACACCGCCTGCCAACACCGTCCCTGGCTTCGATGATGCCTTTTTTCCAGGTCTGCTACAGCATACATGCTCACCTCGAAAGGTCGAATACCGACCGGCCGACCGACCGACAGACCGTGCTCAGCCTATTCCTCTCACTCGTCTCCTTCCTTTCTGTTCACTTCCCGCTCCGCAATCCCTCAACGGCCGGGGCTTGTCGAGCCTTGTCGGTAATTAACGCCTCAGAGAGAGAGAGAGAGAGATAGAGAGAGCGAGAGAGAGGGGCAAAAACATGTGTCCATTCACTTGTTCTAAACAGTCTTTTTTCCTTTTCCTTCTGCACAAGTATGCTTTCTCGTATGGACACGTCGCAAGTGGATGCGAGAAAAAGTGAGCGCTTGCCTCAGACTCACCCCGGTCGTCGGCTATGACGGTACAGGCTCCATCGATTTCAAGGCTGCTCGTAAGACCGGTTCGTTACCACTCGGCAAGCCGGTTGACACGTTCATCTGCCCTCTTACGAACAGCCGGTCGGTCAGTCGGTTTCCACATGCATAATTGGATTAGGGCATCTGTTGATCGGAGAAGAGATCAACTTCCCATTGACCCAGCAACGAACCAAGTGGCAGGTCTTGCAACTAAATCCCTTGAAATGTATGGCGCCAACTAGCCAGTGACCGAAAAGCATGTGGCACTCGAGGCCGGCCAGTTCCCTCCATCCAGGCCTCTCTCGTTCCTTAAAATTGAATTTCCTTTGTTTTGACTAGTTAAGGCTAACACCACTGGTTCCCTGCCAATACAAACACACACACACACACACATGCTATAAAATCACTTTAGAGCCCATACAATCCCCTGGGTATATAGGTAATATATATATATATATTATTTATTTATTTATTTTTTTAATAAACCACATGCATAAACCGGTGAGTTTTCTTGACTGAATTGAATTCTTTTTTTATTTTAGATGTAAATGTGATTCAAACTAGTCATCGCGTTGTGGTTAAAATTCCAATAACTATTCTTATATCAGCAAAAACGGCCCAAAGGAACTAAGTTCAGATTCCGTTTCCATTGTCATTCTGAGACAATGAAAAGTGATAAACCCTAGGATTAAGCTCTGATTGTCAATGAATAGAAGCACACATCGAGCCAGAGGTACAGCCTGAAAAGGTCCAGTTGAAGGCCGACTTCTAATGTGAGGACATCCGGCCTGTGTCATGAGACGGCCTCGAGCAGTTCTTGAGTCCGTATTCGGAATTCGGGCCCGAAGCTTTCATACTCGCCTGGCTGGAGGCCTAGTTCCCTTCAAGCGTGATCTCTAAAGGCACAGCTGTTTATCGTTCACACCGAACCTGGATTGCAGTAGTTTGTTGCGCCTAACGCTGAAATTGCCCACTTCGTCAACTTGTGTGGCTGGTTTTCGTGGAGAGCTTGTGCTCAAACCTGGCCACAGTACAATTTCTGCAAAAGTGGGGCCCGGAGAGATTCAGGCTAACCTCATGCTGATTCGTCGATCGACCCTCTGGCAGGTCCATTGCTTGCATTACTACCAAAAATTGTCACCTCCCTCCCAATTTGGCCTCATTTATTTTACTAACAAGAATACATCAACTTTTGAGGCATAAGCACCATTCTGCTACATATTTTGGCCCTATTCATTATTGCACTTTACAAACACTTTTTTAGCAAGTTGCTTCTTTTTAAAGTAGATGTACTAATTCAGATTAGTGTCCAGCTTGGATTCTTTGATAGTTTAGCTGGCCGAACAGAAATGAGTTTCATTCTTCTACATTTAACCGAATTTCTACAATTGGCGAGATCGTATGAAGAATACTTAAGGCTTACAGATGACTTAGAAAATAGTTTTTACCTCTGATAATGCCTGTTTAAAAAGGACAGACTAAAGCTCGGCACTGATGATGGGGTCCAATTTACAAATCCGTTCCACCATAGTTTATATGCTAAAGAAAATGATTAAGAGTGTCTTACAAACCCAAGCAACTGTATAGCTCATATAGACAAATACGACGACACTTAAAATAATATTTTATTCGAAAGTGCGAAAAGGAAGATGATGTGGCCCATGGTGAGACACAGTCTCATTTCTCTGAATTAAAATGATTTTGGCATCGTTTTTAAATTAGTTCGTGTCGCCAGAGCGACCCCGGGGAACTTGACTTGCCATAATAGACCTCGTACAGATAACATGGAAAAGTTTCAGGAGCATCACGGCATCGTTAGGGCGTCTAACCATTTCTAACACTAAGTTATAACTCGTCAAAAAGATGATTTAACAAACATTATCCAGAAAGTCGAAGATATGAAAACCATGATCGTGTGGTTCTCGGTATGGTCGCAGTCTCCTCTCGATTTATGGAAGTGAGTAAACCTCGTTTTCGCAACTTGTTCTTGTTGTCAGGGCGACTTAGTTGAACGTACTTTGTCCGAAGTCCTCTGATACCGACTGCGAAGCCGGCGAAACGTCTGAGAATGTACCATGTCTATGGTCTGATGCTTGGAATTATGATAGCTACTATGGCAGAGGACTTCGAACAAGGTGCGTCCCCCTGAGTCGCCCTGAAATCGAGACCAAGTTGCGAAAACCAGGTCAACTCACGTCTATTATTCAGAAAGTTTTGATACACTCAATCATCCCATGGACTCATATATATATGCAAAAACTTGTTTACTCTAAAACTATTAAGACGGAAGAAGAAATTAGGCTTAAAAGGCACACCTCCGGGGCATTCAAAGATAAACACTTTGAAAGCTGTGATGCAAAGGGAATGAAAGGTCAGGAGAGGTAAAACAATGGTTCAGCAGGAAATTTCTCAAACGATAGAACTTGTTGCAAAGACTGGCAAGGCTGGTGGGACTTCTGGGAATTCATCGACGCTGTAAATCACCACGACAACTATGGATGAGAATAGATAGGGTAGGCTCTTCGAAGTCGTGATAACAGCACAGAAAAGTTGCGAAAACAAGGACGAACTAAGATTAAACTTTTACTTGAGGTTTATTCATCCTGTTTCGTTTAGGATGATAAGAGGACTGGTAGTTGAATTTTACCAAAATGATATGAGCAGACATGACGTTTCCATCAAGCTTAACAAGACCTTGCTTTCCAAAAATGTATCCTCATTCACAGTGGACCGCAGATTCGAGCTCGCCTAAGTCGTATCAGCCCTCCATCACTTGAGTGCTCTTGGATCACATGGCAACTGTAAAAGTTGCACATTCGTGGCAATATGTCGTAGCGGTTAACGTGTCAAGATTATACGCTGGAGTGACATGGCTTGAATCCTGCTGGGGCTGTTGATAAGACCTGGGCGATGTCGAAAGTACAGAAACTTTTGGAAAGCAAGGGCATGCAAAATTCAATGAAAACATCATATCATTTTGGGAAGATTCATCCACTAGTCTCTTAATCACCCCAAATGAAAGTGAATGAATATACCTCATATATATGATCTACTGGTAGTCTCTAAAGCCTAGCAATAAACGAAAAATAAACTTGTATTGTCTATCACTCACAAATATCTACAAAAATTGATACCGTTGAATTCGATAATTCACGAAACTATTCCTGAAGGTAAGTTAAACGACCTCCATCAGAGATTTATTACGCCCTGCATTGCTCACGACCCGACCTCGAATCACGTTGAGGGTGCTTTGGTATTTAGTCTAGACGGTAATCCCGTTTAAGTAGTGGGGTTGTATATGCAATTTAGTTACATATAATCGCAGATCTGAAGGCCAAGATGGCGTAGCCTTAGGTATGATCTCGGCCTTTTTAAAATGTATAATTTGGGTTGTAACTCGTTTTCCCGACGTATCCTGTAAAAATAGAATACCTTTCGGAATGTAAGCAATTCTGTTCGAGTAGTCACGATAAGCTCTGACCTCGGCTCGTTGAGTTTCTATCTTTTCAACGTTTCGTCAATATTGCAGTCAGCCGTCAATGAGGCCGCGTTCTTAAAACAGAGCCACAGCACATCGAAGTGACAATTCAACTTTGACGAGGACATCTTTTACTGACAATTCCGGTTACGATGGCGTCGAAATGTCTGGAAATGTGTAAAATAAACGGTCTAATGCTGTAAATTATCGTTATTACTTTGGTGAAACACGCAAGAATGGGTATAATCCGCAAGATCTTTCCTTTCCCAAGAAGAAGTTGCAAAAACGAGGATGCATCAATACTTGAATATTTTTGATGATTAATTGTACGGAAGATGGTTTGCACTTTCTATTTTATACAAGAAGAATAGCTGGGTTTCGATGGCCTTTTCATTACGTATGAAAGTATAAGATGAAGAGATTCGTAGTTCAATCTCACTGTAGCTTCGGGCAAAAACTGGCTGTTATCTTCAGTGATATGACAGATATCGTCACAACTTCAAGTTAGTAGTATGTTCTATTCTACATGCCACAGATACTCATAACTAAAAAAAAAAAAAAATATTTATAAATACAGAATAAGTAGGTTACTTAGATTTCATATGAATTATGGTACTTTTACTTGAATTCAGATT